TTTAGCTTTAAAAACTTGCAGACTGAAGGGTGTAAAAACACACCACAATTAGTCACTATTTTTTAAGCCCACCTTCTTGTGACTTCATCACTCGAAGTCAGAAAAAGAAGTTTTATACAAATAACGATGTGATTAATGAGAGATTTATGTTTGCTTCGTCAGTCAAATGACGAGAGATTTATGTTTCCTTTGTCAGTCAAATGATGAGAGATTTATGTTTGCTTAGTATAAAAACACCAAAAAATTAGTATCAATTTTAATGGACTGACGAAAAAAACTCGCGGAAGAGAAGGTGTAAAAACACACAAAAAAGTCTGCTCGCGCTCCCTGCTGCTTAGATAAAAAAACTGTTTAATAAGGCTATGTATTATTTGTACATATAATATGGTTTTATTTAAAAAAAACCATGGCTTAATATTTTCACTTGAGCCATGGTTTTGGGTATTTTATCAAAAAATTCTGGCACTCCTGCTAAATATAAACATTAGTAATAAATAACACTATATAGCAAAAAATTTGTTAAATTTTATCAAACTTTGATATGGATTTTCTTGATAACTATCAATTGAAATTGGTTGAAATTTTTACTGTAGATAGTATTGGTATTCAACTATAACATATCAAAATTTCAGCCAATTATAATCACTGGTTCACAAGAAATCGATTGTATACAATAGTTAATTTTTTTAAAAAAATTAACTATCGTATACAAGCGATTTCTTTTAAACTAGTAATTATAATTAGCTGAAATTTTTATATATTATAGTTGAATACCAATACTATCTACAGTAAAAATTTCAACCAATTTCAATTGATAGTTATCGAGAAAATCTATATCAAAGTTTGATAAAATTTAACAAATTTTATAATAATCGATATATATCATTAGTAATATATATCGATATATAACTATAATCGATATATAACTATAATCGATATATATCGTTAGTGATATATATCGATATATAACCAATAATCGATATATATCGTATAAAAAAATCGATTGCAATCGCCTCTAGCAATCGATGCAAATCTTCAAAAAAAAATTTCCTGATGTGGGTTAAAATTATTTAGATTGAGTTTTAGTTTTAAGCCATACACTTTTGGCATTGAGCCATGGTTCAAAGCTATACTTTTGACTTAAATCTAGTTGGTTTCAAACCGTGGCTTAATGTCAAAAGCGTAGCTTTTGACATTGAGCCATGGTACAAAGCCGTGTTTTTTATTTTAAGCTATGGTTCAAAGCTATACTTTGACTTAAATCTAGTTGGTTTCAAACCGTGGCTTAATGTAGCTTTTGACATTGGGACATGGTGCAAAGCTGTGTTTTGATTTTAAGCTATGGTTCAAAGCTACGCTTTTGACTTAAATCTAGTTGGTTTCAAGTTGTGGTTTATATGGGAATAATAGTTATTAGTATTTCCTATTTATTTAAAATAAAAAATCTTAATAGTTTTCATCTAAAAATTAAAGACGAACTGTTATTTATTTGAGAATTTTGTATATTAATTGGCTGGGGTTGAAAAGGCGAAGTGAAAACCTTCAGGCGAATTTTTAGAAATTTCCGGTTCCCGCTTCAATTTGTCAATTTTGGATACTAAAGCTTAATTTAAAATGTAGCAACTAGCTTTTAAAAATACACAGTGTCAAAAAAAATTTTTTAGAAACACATTAAAAGCACATTAAATAAAATAAAATACAGCAGCAGAATTTTAAAATACATAGTAACAGGAGATTAAATAAAATAAATATGTATTTTTGTATCGCAAATAAAGTGAAACAACGTCAAATAGTTCCGAATAGCCCTTGCATTTGGTACGAATGTTGTGTGAAGAAGATTCCTTAGATGAATAAGGAGAAATGAAACATCAGGTTATTAAAGTGAAGAGTAATAGTAAGGGCGAAAATGCAATTAGATGTTTTACGCGATACTTGTAAGGGGTTGATCGTAAAACGGGATGATTAATTGAGTAATCAATTAAAAGCAGAAAGTATAAGATAGCATAAAGGAAGTATATGTAAGTTTAATGGGGAAATGACATAAATAATATAATGCAAGAGTAATATAAAAATCAAAGAAATAAATTCAGTCTTTCGCTCTAATTAATAAACATAACAGAAATGATAAGATGAAATCGATTTACATACCCTCGACTGTATGACTGCCTCTTTATTATTAGTTTAAGTGTTAGAAAATAAAAATTGATTACAAAGTAGTGGTACGAAGTGAATTATTAATGATTAAAGAGTAAATAAGATTCGGTTACGGGAGTAATAAAAATAGTAATGCAAAGCTAAAACGTATTATGGATATATTATTCTTGATTTTGATTGGCTAATCAGTGATACCTCCTTAAATGCATACCCTTTCTAAATTACTGTACTAAAATTAAGTCTAGTTGATAATTTTTTTTTAGATAAGTTATGGATTCCAGGTTTGTGGCACAGATTTTCGGTTTAGAATGAAGTTGGAGGTTGGGTAATTATATAGTCATCCCTCTTTATAATCACACAGTTGGGACCATAGTAATTTTTTTAAAAAATGTGTTTATAATGAGGTGTGCTTATATAGAGGTTTTTTTTATATATATTAAATAGTAATTGGGCTCAAATGTAATAAAACCGCTCAAAAAAACTTTTTGTTAGAACACCAAAGGTTGTTTTTTATGCAGATTTTTGAGAAATAAGCGATTTTGACAAAACGACCGTTTGTTTTGAGATTTCTTGATCATTCAAAATGAAATTTTGTATAGTGTAAAATAGAAATAGACAAGCCACCGACTAATACAAAATTTTGAGGTGCATGTTTTTAGCTTTTTGTTTCAACATTAAAGGTCAGCTTTAGGGGTAGAATTTATAGTAAACAAGTATGAGTGGGTTTTAGGAGATTAAATAAAAATTCTAAATTTCATTTTGACAATTATTACTGTGTAAGCATGGGGTAAGCAATTCATGATTATTTCTAATCATGTATAATTATTACTTTCAAACTTCTTTATTACTGTATTTGAAATACAGTACCATAACTATACCATAACACATTTTACTACCAATTTTTTTTAATCAAAGAACGTTACATAACTTCTTTCTTTCTTTTTTTT